AAGTTCAAATTTTAGAATTGAGGAGTGTTGTTATCTCGATATTCATGAATAAATAAATATCTAGCATTCGACGTGCCCTTCAAAAAGTAATTCTAACACTCACGTGATTTTGCCACTATAGACAAAGAAGGAAAAAAACTGGTGTGAAAATGCCAATAAACACCGGTTAGGGACTACTTGTATATGCGCTGTTATGTTTTCACCCTCGATTGTATAGTTTACAAAGCATTTGAAAGCAACAATAAAAGCATTTTTATTTATATTTTCAGTTCGTGTAATGTTTTCTTTTCATACAATACCGAAATAATATCTCACATACACTAACGCCACATATTAGATCCATATCAGTTAATAAATATTTTGACAAAACGGCGCCAATCCGTAAGCAGCGTAATGATGTCATCCTAAGTAAACAAATTATTTATAAACAAGCTGACGTTATTTCATACATACAAAAATGATAAATGGAGCACTGATGTAAACACAATACGACGTAAGTTTTTATTTTTGAAAACTTGATAAAATAACTTTTTTTTCTTATTATTTCTTTTGTTTAATAATTTCTATATCTTCGCAATAGTAGGGTGCGAACGATCGAACAGCGTTATACGAAAATCGGCACCGGAAGTCATTTCCGCTTGAAAAATAACATTAGTGATTTTTCTTATTTTATCGTGTTAGAATCGAAATAACATCGGCCTGAGAGGTGTATATCGGCTATTTAACACCGGTTTTGTCGTTTTGATGCGACAAAATTAACCACTCAGGCCTACGGCCTTTGTGGTAAATTCCTACGCATCAAAACTCCAAACCACATGCGCTTGTCACATAATCAAATATTTTACATAATCGGTCTATATGATATGTATATAAAGATATAAGGCCCCCCAACGAAACAAAAACATCATGCGGAACAAACAAGAACACTGCTGCAATAAACGACCAGATCATGGTTATCTCTTTCTGGTCGCCATCTGAAAGGATCAATCCAAGTGCCAACGCTTTTTATTTCATTAAATCCCTCAAATAGCAAAGAAATTGGGAAAAGTTTCGCAAAAGCCATTATTTTCAATTCATGTCGTTTTCGACGTCCAGTCCATTCATGTATACAAACACGATTTCTGATCGATTTTCACTGATCGTACGTAATTCATTAAAAAATACACAAGCTCTCGCTTGTGACAGTATTTTATCGCCATGTATAGCGCATGTATATACTATTCCGCTCTGAATATTATATAAGGTTTATTGGTTAAGATAATTACCGGAATACTATTGACCAATCGTATAATACTATTTCTTTGCTTCATTTACCTGTCACTTCAAATTCAAAATGGCGCACTTTACTTGACCTCCGCTTCTACAACCAATATTTTTTAAATATTTGCGTACAAAGAGGGCTCTAGTTCAATCTAGACTTCGCAGATTGATAGAAAAAGAGTTTGTTTATGAATTATATGAGGAAATTTTAGATGTTTTCTATTTATTTCGTAGAAATCGACCAGCAATCGTTTTTGTATACATGAATAGATTGGACGTCGAAAACGACATGGATTGAAAATATTGGCATTTTCTGAAACTTTTACTCATTTCTTTGCTATTTGAAGAATTTTAATGAAATAAAAAGCTTTAACGCTTGGATTGATCCTTCAGATGGCGGCCAGAAAGAGATAACCGTGATCTAATCGTTTCTTTCAGCATTGTTCTTGTTTGTTCCGCATGATGTTTTTGTTTCGTTGGGGGCCTTATATCTTTATATACATATATAGACCGATTATGTAGAATATTTGATTATGTGACTAGCGCCTGTGCTCCAAACCGGTGTTAAATAGCCGATATACACCTCCCAGGCCGATGTTAATTCTTAAATAACATGCAGTGCTTTTAAAAAAAAAAACATCAAGTTTTTCATCAGATCAATTATTGGTATTATTTATCATTTTGCCATTTCTTTAAAAATACAATGCTTCAAACAGTTAGAAATTATAAAGCGCTTTGGAACATTTCTTGTCTGCAGCATTTGTTGAAAGGTATAATTAATAGGATACGTTTTATTTTGTTTTTATGAATGTATAGTGCCACATTTAGTAATATAAATAGTATATTCTTTTCGAAAGGAATGTCTTGCTGTTTATCAAATGGTATAATAAAAGTGATTCTTTTACGACACATTACTGCACGTTTAGGACAACTTTCGTCACACATACTCTATTATTACAGCATTATTTAACACATATTTGACCTTTCTAAATAATTAAAACAAATATTTGCAGGATATCATACCAGTGATAACCATATTTTCCATAAATAACCGTATGCGATCTAACGCAATTCCTAAATGACAGATGACCATTATATTCAACGTCCGATTTCAATTGTTACGGTAAAATTAACTCAACCAGGGACCAATCAATATTAATTAAATGCTCTTTCTCGCGGACTATTTTAATTAACTCTTCCGTTACATACAATGAGATGGTAAAAATAGATACACGTAAATGCCTTTACTTGTTTGTAAATAAAAAATAATCGTAATATTTCTAAATAAACATTTATGACGATAAAACATCTCGAAGACACTAGTTACATGTACACTTTACAGATAGCTTCTGCATTCCATTCATTAGCTTTAAGTTACCGTTGTTAAATAAATAAATACTTCTGAAAATAAGCAATTTAAAATATGAATGAATAATCATTTGCTAAATCAAATTTATCGCATAGTTTAAATGACAACTGAGTTAAATTGTCAATAGTATCTTAATGCCATCATGTTACGTTTACATTATTTGATCAATGAAATAAAGCCAATTCAAAATTGTTTACATACTTTGTAATTGTAGTGGACTAAAATATGACAAAATGCAAAGAGATCATTGTTAAACAGGAAATCATTAGTTGTTTTCTGTTTGTTTTGATTGGATTTTACGTCAAACCGACACATTATTTGTCATATGGCGACGTTCCAGCTTTACTGAGAGAGAAATACCTCGGGTTCCCTTCCATGTATTATGTCAGGCACGAACGGGCACCCGAGTAGAACCTCCGACGTTCCGTAAGCTAGCTGGATAGTTTCCTCACATGAAAGAATCCAAAGTCTCTGTTTGGATTCGAACCCACAGCGGTGAGGGGCAAGTAGTTTGAAGACAACGATCTTAAACCACTAGGACATCGACGCCCCAAAAACAATTTGTAAAACAGGATGTTTATTAAACCTTTATATCTAGTGAAGATATCGCTAAACACATGACACTTTTATTTGTCAACTGTTGCATATTTGTCTGTTTTATCTAATCTAAAGTTAACACAATCTTTAAAGAAAATGTACACTTCTCATAAGTTCAATCCAGTTATTAAGATGAGTTAGATAGACAGTCCGAACAGCTTTTATGCAATATCAGTGTGTTTTTAAAATTTACAAACACTATCGACAAACACTTATTTTATGGATATGGGAATGGTTATTATTTACTATGTATAATGACATTTAATGTTTATTTATACTACAAAACAAGAACACAGTGACAACATTTTTATCCTCCTTGCGTCTATCGTTTCAACCGAGCGTTAATGGGTTAACGTTATCGTTGTCAAAGGTACATCATTGTCTCGCATACAGCTTAATTCTATTAACTAGATTCTTTAGATTAACATATCTATATCGATTTTATTTATCGTGTCTAATGGATTAGTATTATCATGTATTATTAACTGATAACCAACATCAGATAAGAGTTGTCAAACAAGCATTTTACAAAACCTTAAAGTTCATGAAACATCTTCAGTACAAATCGAAACGAAACATGCTAACCTTTTCCCCAGGATTATGCAATATTATACAAGACAACGTGTGTTTATATCTTTTAAATCAGTATTTATGTAAAGATCAATTATGGCAAATACGACTTGAAATGTTGTCATATGACTAAAAATAGGTTTTTACTAAAATAAAGTTTTACTTAATGTTTAAAAATTTTTACTTCAATAAAAGGTAAATGTAATAAGCGGTTTTTGGTTTTTATTCTAAAGCAAACTATAATATAAATTCCGTATTAACGATTAAAGATGTATAATATCATATATTTTTAAAACAATATCGTGTGGTTTATATTTATCTGAATAAAATATCAAATGTTATAAAATGCGTTGTCGGCATATTGTTTAAATCAGTAAATCTTAATTCTTTGTAGTTTATTTGTCTCTCAAGCAATGTTAAAAACACACGAGCAGGAAATTATAATTATATGATTGATTTGATATATTATAAGATATGTGCAATAGATTTAACCAACAGCTATTTCATTTCAGATAAAGTTAAAATGGGAACGATTCCTGAAGACCAGGGTGTCCACAACAGACGACCGTTTACTTCAATATGGATATGGTTGATCGTGTTCAACTTTTGTAGCATTTTGGAAAACCCATATGAAGAAAACAATTTCATCGCACCTGAATCTTATTCACATATTTCTTACGCATCAAAAAAGCAATCGAATATCCAATGGTTAATCTCCCTTAATCAATGTAAAGCTAAAACAGGAATATCACAATGTAAAAAAGAAAACATTAGTTTTTTCGTGTTCCAAACTTCACGCGAAAAAGTTGCAGAAACAAATATTAAAAGTAATTATAGTGTTATTTCGCAAACTTTTCAAAATATATTCAGTAAACAGCGATGCTTGAATAAAGTAAATTTATCAGAAAATATCTCATATGGCAAACTACGCAGCAGAAAATTTGCAAGTCGTTTCTGTTGTAGTTGTAACAACTCGGGTATGGCACCCGTAATTTTCCTAGCAATTTTCATAGCAGCCTATGTAATCCTTTTATATAAAAAGTCAGACTTTTCGACTCATGATGTTAAAGAACAAGACAAAAGATCATATGACTTTGTATTTAAATTATGGCGTAAACAAAGGCTGAAAATAGATGTTTATCACTTTTCATTGAAACAATATGTCAATGGAATAGAAAGAAAAAGTGACAAAAACAGTAAACACATGGTACATGAATGGGCTAGATTAGAATCTTTTCAGACATTTCCAAAAAAGTGTCCAGTCTCAACGCTTCGACTTGCCCAAACAGGGTTTTACTCTACAGGGAAAGGAGTAGAGGTGATTTGTTTTTGTTGTGGATTAAAAAATGAGCACTGGACCGAGAACGAAACTGTGTCAGAATTACATAAACGATTGTCACCACATTGTAAGTTCTTAAGAGGTGAAGACTCGGATAATGTTCCAATACATGGAGTAAACGTAGTGAATCGAAACGACACAGAGGGTGCTTGTGGAGGTCCTAATGATGATCCAAAAAATAGAAGAAATCCTCATCAAGAACACAATGAGAAAAGTGGGAAACAAACCAACGATAGAATGCGTTGTAACAAAGAGACAGAACAACATCTAGACAAAATAACACATCAACTTAACCAGCATTATTCCGTTCCTGAAAATGGAAATGTTCACAGAATGTCTGACAATGATATAACAGCAGAGATTCAGTATTTTCCAGGTATACCAAATGATCAACCAAAACGCCCAGAATATGCGATCAGAAGCGAACGACTGTTATCATTTTCTGCCTGGTCTTTAAATAATATCATGAAACCGGAAGCCTTAGCAGAAGCCGGATTTTTTTTTCACTGGTAAGGTTTAAACTTTATTCTTTTATTTTGTATATTTCTACATTATGTGAGGATGTCTTCCTACACACTTGTTGTATTTAAATGTTCATTTTGATTTAAATGAAGCAATGTTATAAATGTATAGTAAGAATCCTTTCTTATATTAAAACAGTCCATGATTATAAATCAATACAAATGACCATATTTCAATATTTTCATTTTTATTAAAGATACAATGTACAACATTTTTAAAATACTTTTTTAACTGTTACTAGCTTTTATCAAAGTAAAATTCATTAATGAGTTGTCTTACGAACTGCTTATCCACATTCCCTCGTTGATTCCAAAATATCTTCTTTATATGAAATGCTAGGTAGTAAGTACTAATTCAATATTTAAACTTTATAAAATGCAAAAGATAGTTTTGTCTTCAATGATATCTTTATAAAATCATTTATAATATATTATAGAAATGCAAGATCCAGTGAGGTGCTTTTTCTGTGGCGGTGGAATGAAGAACTGGGCGTACGGAGACAGTCCTTGGATTGAGCACGCGAGATGGTTCCCGGCGTGCGCATACTTAAAACAATGCAAAGGAGAAGATTTTGTTAATTTGTGCCAAATGTCAAGTATGACATTTCCAACACTGAATAATTTTGTAAGTATTTGTAGGTACTTTGTTAAAAGGTTTTTACAAAAATACAAAATGAATAAAACAATGAATTATAACTTTTTTTCTTTAAATTCTAAAGAGCTATTTTCCTTTTTAGTTACAGAACAAGGTGTAACAATTAGATATTTTTATAATTTTAGCAATTGAGAGATTTAGATTCTCATCGAACAACAATTGTAGAAGATCAAGAAATTGTAGATCTAAATAGTATTGCAGCTAAGCGTGTATTTAAAATGGGATACAGTCAAACACAGATAGAAGATGCTATCCGCCATACTAGGCTTGTAGTAGGTAATACCTTCTTTATATCGTTCTATGTTTATGTTTATTTCATCTACACTGTTTGATATAGAGAATTAAAAAAGAATTGCCAATCAATTATTTAAAACTTTTGATTAGTATAATTATTCAACTTCCATCTATTCATTTATTAATATCAGGTCAATCGGGTGTTCTCAAGGCGCAAAATCTTCTAGAGTATCTCCTAGACAATTGTCATTTAAACTCTGACGTCACTAGTCCACACACATCGACAGCAGGAGATGAACAAAATAACTCACGAAGTACCGGGGAAGATGTACCATCTTCGAGCGAATCAAATACCTCCAATAACACCAATGGAAATACTGCAGTGGAAGCAGAAGACATTGAAGGTATATTTTGTCCAACTTTTTTCCAAATTTCATATAGATACCAAATGCAATATAGATACTGAATTCTTGGTTCAGACAACATTAACGATGTAGCTTTCAATACTTCTACATACCAACTCAATATGTTATTTTATTATATTATTCCAGAGAGACAGTCATTGAAAGAAGAAAATCGTTTATTGAAAGAACAAATGATGTGTAAAGTTTGTATGGATAAAGATGCAAATACAGTTTTCCTTCCATGTGGACATTTAGTAGCTTGCGATGATTGTGCGAAAGTGCTAAGAAAATGTGCAGTGTGCCGGAAAATAATTCAAGGGACTGTACGGACATACCCCGCCTAAAAACATGAAACATACAAATACGACTTAACACTTGCTGTAGCAGCAGCCTGAATATATAAATACTATATTGTGCCAAATGTATCATATCATAATTTAATTAAATGTAATTTGAATTCATGTTATATTTTTCTATCATTTTATATAACAACTGTTATAACTGTGTTATAAAATAAATTGAAAAAATGTATTGTGGATTTTTGTTTATCTTGAGCGAATATGTTGGATATCGCACTAAGATGTGAGTATTTTCAATATTTTCACGAGAATATAGCGCGAATGAAAATGTATCTTTTTCCTTTCTTTGATGTGTGATATATAGAATATTTACGTAAACTTACACAAAATGCTGTTAATGATAAGCCTTATCAGTAGAATAAGCGTTATTTTTGACTGTTTTCAGTGAAGTACGGTAAACAAAACACATAAAAAAGATGTCGCGATACTTTAAACGGTTATTTGCCGAATAATTTTTTACAATGTTAAGAAATTATGATATTTGAATCGAGAATTACTTTTATTTTAGTTAGATTTTGTTGGAAGCTTTCACTAAGCTATGAGTGTAAAGTTTCTTTCTCACGGAAATAAAGGCTTGACGGGATTTGAACCCACGCGGCCAGCCTTAGATAACTAGTCCGACGTGTTGACCACTCGACCATTAACATTAAGGAGAAAAGGTTCGGGTGTCGTTAGTTAAAGCAATAATAAAGCATGGCTTTAAGTAACCAAAGAAATCGTTTAAACCGACATTCCTTGTTAAATTTATACAAAACATTTCTGTATCTACTTATGGTAATATATTAAATCACGTTTAATATCAATGTCATTCAATTGAACACATTATTTCACAATATTTTATCATACGCATGTATAAGCTATTACCTATAGTTGCGTTATATACTAGTACTTGTACGGACTTTTTAACCTTGGCGTAATAAATGTTCCTATTTTCGTCACTATTTTTTAAATTGCGCAACAGTTTTCTTTAATTTTAATTCAAATTTTCTCTGCAGTACCTTGGTTAAATAAAGTTATGAAAGTTATGAAAGACACTTAACGTTTTTTTTTTGTAAACTATCCAGTAGTCAATTTGTTTTTTTATTACAATATAAGGATAAATCAATTTTGTATTGGGCTTGTCTTATATGCTTATATATAGGTGCATTGTAGTTTTTTATGATCATGAAATATCACATATACCTGGTTCACATACAGAATAATTTTTTGTAAATAACATGAATAATAAAAATATTCAGTTTTGAAGATTAACATATCACAATGCAATATGAACACGTATTTACCTACTGTTATTTTGCATTGGGCCGTGACAGTTAGTATGAATAGGAAACATTGGTGTCAAATTAAGGCAAAATATTGCATACAACTTGGAATTTTGAATTCAAAACAGTTTTATTAAACTTTTACGCTTGTTTACGATTAACAGCACGCATATCTTTGTTATGAAATGTTAAAATTAAGTCGGTCAATGCCCTAAATGCTGTATCTACGTGAAAGTCTCGAGAGGTATATTTGTAAACATCTTGAATGTTTTCTTTTATTTAATGCGTATTTCTATCAGCTACACTCGATAATTTGGGTGGATATTTTGTTTTTAATAGTGGATTTAGAGCATAACTGAAGAAAATAGCACTGAATTTATGTGTCGTAAAGGTAGTTAAATAAAAAAAGAGTATTTTGACTTCCATACAAAATACTAAATAACTGCAATTATAACAATTGCCAAATAGCAAAAGAAGCAAAAGATTGTCTACAAAGCCAATGTGTAACTTTTGGAAACAATAACAAAATACCAAACACTACAAAGTTATCATCGGTTTTCATTCTTAATGAATAATTCATTTACCACATAGCCGTGCGGCTTTTGCAAAAAATCCGTTTATCGGACGGCCGT